AGAGAATGGAGGGGCCCCTGGGAGGGACTCAGGCTCCTCCCCCACGAGAGAGAATGGAGGGGCCCCTGGGAGGGACTCAGGCTCCCCCCCCCGAGAATGGAGGGGCCCCTGGGGGGAACCCCCCAGAGAATGGAGGGGCCCCTGGGAGGGACTCAGGCTCCCCCCCCCCGAGAATGGAGGGGCCCCTGGGGGGACCCCCCAGAGAATGGAGGGGACGCTAGTGGAACCCAGACCCCCCCTAGAGAGAGAATGGAGGGGGCACTGGGGAGAGTGAGCCTGATGCCTCCCCCAACACACCCAGGGAACGGCGGGACCCCGCTGCCCCACCTGCTCCCAAGCACGTGGAGTTTGTAGAGGATCCTGGCCGAGGATCCCTGTCAGGGTGAGCACTATGGCGGGGTGGGTGCAGGTCCCCAGGAGGTGGGTGGTGAGCAAGTGCAGTGTCGGGTGTGGGTGGGGTCAGTGTCAGAGTGGGTGCAATGGGGGTGGGTGCATGCCCCCATCATGCAGAGCCAGGCACCAGCCCATAACACCTGCTTTATTCCATCTGTCTGTGGCTTCTGCAGCCCGTTCTGCTTTTCATAGGGCTGATTTTCAGAAGCATTGAGCACCTGCAGCCCCGTGACTTTATGTGGAGCGGTGGGGATTACATATCCCTAAAAATCAGGCCCTTAGTGCCCAGCTTGTACCCAGTGCTGTGCAGCTGTGAGTTGTGCCACAGATAGCGAGTCCCTGCCTCAGGATGTCTACACTGCAGCTGGTAGCGTGCCTCCTGGCCTGGTAGACTGACTCCACCTAGTGCGCTAAAAATAGCTGTGTGGAGGTTGTGGAATGGGCTAGCCCCGGTGTTTGAGCCTGCCCACCCACCTGGGTTTATACTTGAGTCACAAGCTCCTGCCATGTCTAGTTTTAGGACGCTAGCTAGAGCAGAGCTAGCCCTGTCGGTCTGGGAGGCACTCACCCAGCTGCAGTAGGGACATACCCTAAAGGCCTGAGCAGCAAGTATGATATAGAACAAGCAAAAGAAAGTGTACGGGGCTGGGATCTGAATTTCACATAGAGGTGCAATTTCAGTTGTCCTTAAGAACAGGGGCACTTGATGTGCAGCACCTGGGAGGTGGATGCAGGGGCCTAGGGCAGCAGCATGACAGTGGATACAAGATCAGGAGTAGAGAGAGGACTGGAAGGGAGGGACTAAGTGTAGGAGAGATGAAGGTAGAGACAGAGAAGGGTGGAAGATATAATGAAGGAGCCATTGCAATCTAGGGCACGAGGTAAATTACTCTGCAAATTTGCAAACAACACTAGGGCCCTGACAGGTTCAGGTATAGCCAGCCCAAGAGGCTTGTTCCTGAAGCTGAGTCAATATTTGCAGAGCATGTAGGACTCATTAGAACAAACAGGTACATAGGCATTTACATAGAGCTACTTCACCCCTCCCAGCAGGTAGAGCCGCAGCTTGGCCCAGGGAGTTGGCATCTCTGCCAGTGCCCTGCAGCTGTTGGCAAGGCTACTAATCCTCTGCTCATTAATTTTGAGATCATGAAGTCACAAGATTATGGCTGCGATTGGAGAATAGTTAGCAGGGGGCAGAGAGACTCCTGAGCACCAAAGGACCCTATGTTCATGCAAATAATAATAAAAGCCTATGGACAACACGCCAACAGAACACAGCTGCTTGACCTATGGCACTTTCTCTCAGTAAGTCTATTTCAGAGAGGTCCATGGGATACCAGCTGCTCTCTTGCCAGTTCCCAGGGTGAGGCAGGGCAGCTGACAAATCTGCCCTGCCCACATTCTTTCCCAGACTTAGGGAATTTATTTAAACATATCCCCCCACACCCTCATGTTTATTTAAATGCTACCAAAAATTGTAAATATTAAGAATTAATTTATTTTGAAGTGTGGCACCATTCACTCTAGTGGCTGGGCACCCACCCTGCAAAACACAGCTTGATCATTGCAAAGTTTACAATGATAGGAGCTCCTGGTTATAATGAAGCCATTTGTGTTCACAGAACAACTTCACTGTAAATGGAGACTTCATTCAATCTAGGATAACCCTCTCCCCAGTCCACTCTATTAAAACAATACAGGCATTTCATTCTACGTCTCTGTATGTCAGCTTCCACTACATAATTAATACCTAAGCAAGAGGAGGAAAGCTATTCCTGCAAAAGCTCTCTTCCTTGCCTGAGAAAACAAAGGGCAGAAATTTCATAGTAAATAGGCGCAGTGGCTCCCCTTCCCTGGGAGTAGGTAGTTTGCTATTAAGATTTAACAAAAGTGGCTTGTTATGAAAAGACATTACCTTAAACGCAGCTTCTCCCCAGACTTCTCGACAGCAATGAGTGCAAAGAACACAGCCCTGCCCCTAACACCTCCCTACTTTGACTTCATCCCTCCCACTAAGGAAATCTGGCTCCAAGCCCAGGGTCACCTGTATAGTATTTGCAAGAAACATCTTTATACATAATTGTGGACCGTTAATATTTAGTTGCCAATTATTTTCTTGCCTGTGGTTCTTGGCAGGTTCTACAAAGTCCAAAGTACATTGGCCCAGATCCTGAAAGGTATTAAGTGCCTAACTCCCATTAGAATTAGTGGGAGTTAGATGCCAAAATCTTTCAGGATCTGGGCCACTGTTCCCTCCTTGAGCTCCTCAACATCTCAGTTCTCACTCTCCTTAAAATCTTAACTCCATTCCCTCCAGGTCTCAGTCCATCTTACTTGATTTCCTGGCTGCATCTCAGAGGATTTTCTTTCACTGCACCTATATCCAAGAGGAGAGATTTAAGGAAGAGGGAATGGGCAGAGAAGGTAAAGAAGATAAAGACAGGAAAGGAAGAAAAGATAAGCAACAGAAAGAAATGTTAGGATTTCCAGGAGGGAAGTTTACAAGGAATCTCCATACACCTCTAGCAACATCTGACCCAGTCATCTGTAAACCTGTTTCCTAAGGGGTTTCTGCTCCAAAAGAAAATTTTGAATTCTCCATTTCAGTTTTTGGTTTTTTTGGGGGGGGGGGGGTGGAGAGGGTTTGAAGGAAAAGTAGATTCCAGTGAGATCATGTGAGAAGAGTCCATCGAGGCAATGGACATCTAATAGAGGAGATATCTGAGCCTCTAGCT